GTTACATTCTTAAAAACAAATGAACAATGTTGTTTCTTAATACAACGTAAAATACTTAAAAAGATGCTCTATGATGTCCTCCTTCCATTTTCACACAGACTGTACAATTTACATCTTCTTTGAAAGGAAGCTCTTATTCGTTCCAATACGAAAATCAACTTTTCTCTGAAACACTTCGTTTGCGGACTTATAATGTTTATTAGGACTTTTTTGTTTCTTTTCATGAGTACTATAGATGCAGATAAAATATCCGACCTTTTTTTAAACACTTTGTATAGATCGCCCTGTCCCCTGAAATACAACTACCGTTTTCAATTTTAAGATTCCTTACTATTTCTTTTACAAAATTCGATCCTTCCAAGAAGGCTCGCCAGCAAACGATTTCGCTGGTGGAATGTTCTCCTCCTAAAGATTCTCCCCCGAAAATTCGTCTCCGAAATAGTAGTCTCTCAAAGGATAAATCGCAATTGACGTTACTGCAATGCCATTTTTTCACCTACGTAATAAGGCACCCAACCTCTTCGCACTTCCTTTTCGGACTCCAATGTGTTACTCATCACATAGACATTGGAAACGCCATCCATATAGTTTAAATCAATATTATTTTGCTTTGCTCGTATGTCTGTCTTGTTAGACATATTTCACCTGCCGATTAGAGATGTGTGGTAAGTATCCCAGTGGAGGCGAATTTCCCTCGTGCGTGAAAATTTCAGGGGTATATTCGGGGTCCAACATTGTAGGGACGATGGAGCTGAATTTTCATATAATCACAGATTTATTAACTCTGTGATATAATCGTTTGTTCGGCACGTTTTGAGGGAAAGTCCCGTTTTCGACCGATATAGTTATTCATTCACAGTCACTAACAATGCCTGAAACTTTTTGTGCCGTACAAAAACTATCGGCAAATATCCATAGCAAAGTATGGCGTGGAACGAAATTTCACGCTTCCTCTTCTAAATGAAACACTAATACAGTGACCTATTACATTGTAACACACGAAACAATTTGAATACATAATTAACTTCAACCTTGACTTACCTAATAGTCATTAAGCTATATAAAGTTAAAGTACCGCTATATGTGTGTTAAACGCTTAAACCGTGCAAATCGGCGATATGTTTATCCGTTAAATAGTAGCTTCAGTGCAAAGGAGATCAACTTACTAATGTCATCCGATTATAATTGCATAACAGTACCTCACTTCATGCCATTAAAACAATTTTTAACGCGAGATTCTGATGTTACATAACCGTAACCTGTGTAATAGGTATTTAAATTTGCTTGCTTAAATTTTTTGTAGATACCACTACTTAAAGAAAAAATTATGCATTCCATTCCATAGCTTCTTTACTCTAATTGGACTTCCTGGCGTATAGTAGACGACCTAATTTTTTACCTTTACATATTCAGCTTATTCTATTTCACAAAACCCGTTAAATTTTGTAAGATAAATATTGTAGTACATAGGTACTACCATCCTTCCAATTTAAAGTGCTTTTTTTCCAAAAACATGTAGTCACTATATGTAGTGATTTTACTTTTTAGAACTAATACAGTACTTCAAAAACATAAGAGTATATCAGTCACAACACAATAATGTAAGGGTGTTGTATTTAAAATGGAAAAGTAGGTACCAAAAATACCAATGGACATGTCTGGACGATTTTTTAACACGAATCGAATTTTTTCCATTTGACTGATGCACACTGTATAGAATTACAATGTATGAAACTGTATCTATAAGAAGGTTGAGGCCTCTTTATCAAGAAGAATCTCTTAAATTTCCAACATTCTTTTTGTTTTAATTTACATTACTGTGGGATTAATAAACAAATATTCTATATTTCTGCAAGAGAAAGTATAGAACATAATATGTGTGAAAGTTGCCCTATCAACAAAAGCATCTCCGCCGTTTGTGTTTTGCAAATAAGTTAATTAAAAAAAACAGTGCCTTATTTCAGTAATAAATCTCATATACGAATAATACCGACCCGAAATCCCTCCCATTATATTGTAAATATTGTAGCGAATATTCCAGAAATCCCGATAGGAATCGAGGCACAAAGAAAGCTTATTCATCGGCGATAAAGACCGAAGTCGCTTGTGACGTAATCTTTCCGAGAAATATGACGTGTTTGTTTTGAAGCGTCCTTGAACACTCGAGAACATTCTAGAAAGAATATTTGTTTGCTATACATATAAGCAAATCGAATTGTGTTTCGAGTTTAGTACCCATTTCGATGCGCTTATGTTACGTAATAAATTGTAAGTGATAAATAATAATGACTGTTAAATTAATCTATTTTAAACCTGTTATAAATTTCTTGTTAGTTAATTGTAAATAAGTAAAACCACGTACGATACGATATTTCAGTAAAGTCTTCCCTAAACCTGAACGTAATTACTGTGTTACCCGAAGATATCTGCTAGCCGTCATCAAATCATTCGAACTTTTCCATAATTACCGCCCATCCCGCATTGCGATGGTTATTACTATTTAAAAGTCCAGAAGGTCACGTTTCCAGGTGGTTGGAAAGACTGCAAGAGTGAAGAGTATGATTTCGCAATAGAACTCCACCCGGAACGAAACCATCATAATGCTGATGCATTATCTACACGAATCGTTATATTCCTCAATTGTGCAACTGCACGATCTAGAAGACCATGACCCTGAGGATGGTCGACACTGCTCAAAACTAGAGTACAAGTATGAAGAACGATATCCATAACGTACTGCACTTGCGGATGATAACTTGACATCTCAAGAACTCGGGATAGTTCAAGAAAAGGATCGTGATTTACGTCTAATGATAAACTGGAAATGGAAGAGAAAAGGTCAACCTGGGATCTCGGTATAGTCCAGGTTTCAATACTGATTGGACTCAGTGGAACTCGTTGCAGCTAGAAGATGGCCTTCTTAAGAGAGAAAATGATGATGGCATGACCACAAATATACAGCTAGTGATACCGGAGGGCGAAAAGTCTGAAGTACTACGACGTATACACGGTGGTATATCGGGGGGACACCTAGAAGTGACGAAAACCCTGGTTAAGGTGCGGAAACGATTCTACTGGGTGAATTGCAAACAAAATGTGAAGGAATAGTGCAGAAAATGTGCAGTGTATGCCACAAGCAACGAACCAGTAGAAAAGAAGAAAGCACCAATGAGGCAATATAATGTGGGTAGTCCATTTGAAAGAATAGCCATTGATATAGCAGGCCCCTTTAAAGAAACAAATACACCTTGGTGGCCATGGACTATTTCAGTAATTGGGGAGGAGCATATCGTCGGCCTAATGAGCATACCTCATAACTCCAATTGAACAAACTTTGCAGGAGAGAAGAAAAACTATTTATTTATTGTGGAGTTAGGAGATTTGCTAATTTGACTTACCTTATGGGTGGAGTTATGAGGTTGTCTGTGTTCATATTTTAGTAGACTTTTAATTTTGTAGGAGTTACGAGTAGTGCACAGCATATAGATTTAACGTAGAGCTACAAGATGGCATTTAAACCTTATTTTCGCCGAAAAGTGGAGTTATGAGGTTTGCTCATTAGGCCGACGATATGCTCTGTTAAATGAAGAAGCGACAAGTGTGGCAGACCATCCGGTAAAAGAACATTTTAGCAGATTTGGAATACCCCTCATTGTTTGTACTATGCTATCAAAAATGAGTTGCTGTCGGGTCATCTTTGGAATTATTGGTTACATGGGAAATCGTACATAACTTCCAAAGGCGACTCGACAGGAACTCATTTTTGATCGCCCGTTATACTCGATGCATCATGGCCGCAGATCTCAACAACCAATCAAAAATTGTCACCACTACCTCTATACTATATAAAGTGACTGTATATAAATGGAATATAAATTTAAACGTTGAAGTAGAAACGAAAAAAACCTTAAGTTTTCCTGGGGATTCTTCTACCCATCTTTCTGCAAAATTCGGGAATCTAACAATTTTTTTAGGGACTCTTGTTGGAAGCATTTCTTAGGAGGTAGGTATATTTCTGAAAGTCATTGAATTGGATACAGAATTCATCATAATGGCCGTCTGGTGCCACGAACCAAAATGTACTGTTCTTACATGTCCATAAGACCGTAAATCTATATTATATTTTAAGTGGTAGTACATAAGGTGAGTTGTAAACGATAGCTTTCTTAGGAGAGACTGCAATATTATACCAGTGTGGAGGCCGGAAGTTTCAATAGTTATGAACTTTATCCGACTTCCACTAAAAAAATCAAAGCTTATATTCATACTCGTAATATGAAAAACAAAACAAAGGTGTCGTGTAGTTAAGACAAAAAAGCTGTTTATCCTGAGAGAAAAGCAGTTCTGCACATTGTCTTCTAATGTTAAAATTGCCAAAATGCCAGAAACTTGCGAATCCATACCCAATTAATCTTTATTTGGGAGACAAAGAAAGATGCGTATACATTCTAACAGCATGAGGCGCAATGAGAGATACAACTGGTTGGATGCGACGCAGAATTGCCATTATCGTTTATTTATGCACCAATTTGACCCCCCAAGGAGGGACTGGCATGGCGATGCTTTAAATAAATGTTATTTGAATATTGCCTGTGATCAAACACGCTTACTTCCAGAATCTAGCAAGGAGCTTGACCGCAAAACCGTTTTTAATACTATTTTTTCTTAATTTGTATTTACCATTACTGTGCTTTACCAAACATTGTTATTCATATTCTCCAAAAGAAATCTGTACAAACTGTTCAAAATGGCTCTTAACATCAGGTATGCGTACGGGTCGCAATATTCTTCACTCATTAGACATATTTTATTATACCCATCCAACAACTGTTGCATTACTAGGTACTTAATGTTTGTGTAACAGGTTAAAAATTCTAGTACTAGGTAGGTACACTTGTGTTGAGTTGCAAACGCTCATTTTTAAACAAGTTCCGTTAATCTTACTTTATTGTATGTGGTAAATTCTTATGGTTTCTAACGTTTCTTAACTTTTATTGCAGATAATTATGGAAGAACTGTTAATAATAACAACAATAGTGGCATCATCTGTCGCACATGCAGCGTTTGCACCGAACTTATATCATCCAAAGGTCTCGATAGTTAATAAAATTGTAGATGTTAATGCTTCATGCGACTTGAAGCATTTTAATATAACTATCTTAATGGAGCAACCGTTTAAGGGGTTGCTCTTCGCCAAAGACTTTTCTCACGAATGTCATGCGACAGGTAAATATCCGCGTGGGGTTTTTTGATTACTATATTACCTAACTGGGTAATTTTCAGAGACAAATAATTCGTTTAGTTTGCATTTACCGACTAGTGGATGTGGAATACGCTTAAGTTCAAAAACCAACGATGAGCACGAGAGCGTTTATTATATGGCGACTTTAGTGGTTCAACAAGACCGATACCTACAACAAGCCACCGATTTAGAATATACGGTGAAATGCTTACTGCAAGAGAATCTCATGTCTGTGAAGAGTAAACCTATGATGGACGCGGTAAAGAAGCTTATGGGACAGAAGAAAACTACCAGGTACATTCATCAGTTCTTACACGTTTCCTCAGGTTAATTTTGTTTAGAAATCGGTAAATCCATATACCGACGTTGGAATAAGTAGGTAATCTTTGCTTGTTAGGGTAACATACAGTTCAGCCCCTAAGGCTGAGTGAGGTGACTTTTGTCCTTAAAATATTAAATGGAACGGGGGATCAAGTAAAGTAATACCAATGTATATCTGTTGTGAGTCTTAGGGTGAATACACTGATGGTTATTACTTATAACACTCACCTTCTAGGACACGCAAATTTTCTAGAATCTAGATGATAATATTAGGATCCTAGATCTTATACATTGTGTGTTGTAGTGATCGTGCGTCGTTTACAAGTTCTGTTATTTGAAGTAGGACAGAGAGAGACAATGTAACTTAAACACATGATAGGTGATAATTAGGTTTATCTCTTAATTAACATGGAAATGAACCCTGTTTCAATTAAAATGCACACAAATATTTAACAATAAATGTGCTATGGCAGAAACTTTCTCCCTCGCCGTACGGGCAATCCATAATAGTCAAATTGCATTTTACACCAACAATAAATAATGACTCAAAATCGTATTCCAGGAAATGCATTTTCCTTATTAGCCCAAATACACGGAGTGATTCAGTCAGTACGCAATCGCAATTACTGTAGCTGGGGCTTGTTTGTTCCACTGATTATCCCAATTAAGTCATCCAAAGAATATTGTTCTTCATCTTGCTCCTCCATGTATTTCAGTATCTCCTCCATAGCAATTTGAACATTCTTGTCTCTCCGGCCTGTTCAACCACACTATTTACCACTTGTAAACATTTACGAATTATTTATTGTTATTGTATCTATCATACCAATAAGGGTGCATTTATTAACAATAAAATGACATTTTTTAGAACAGGACGTATGAAGAACTTGGCGGAGAAAAGTAAAGAAAGCACAACTTCATTTGAAAACGAAAATGATCTAATCGAAGCTTTATCTGCAACGAAAGCGTGGATGGAAATTATTCCTGAGGAGGACAATGATCACCCTGGTATATTGCAAGTTGGTGAACCGGCGCTGCTTATTATTAAGTCAACCTTACCCGGTACGTACTTTATGATTTTCTAACTTCAAAACTGTTCAATTGTTCAGTTTTTCCTAAAAATCACGATGGAAAACTGAAACTGAAAATTCTGTAGGTATTTCATTTAGATCTTCAAAGTAGCAAGCTTAGTCTCCCGTCGTTTCCATGGAAACAATATTGTATTTTGTTCTGAAGTTCACTGTATATCGTGCTCCGCGTCCCATTATTAATATGAATGACAGACATGATTGAAATGCACAATGATTTGTTTCACTTTATCTACCCTTAGCATTAAAGTGATCAGTTTCATTGTGCATTTCAATGACATCTGTCATTCCTATTAAAAATTGGGACGCGAAGCACGAAAAAAAGTTAAGATCAGAACAGAATACAATGTTGTAAACATTGTAGACAAAATTTATGAGGGTACAAGGATAGGAATACATTTTTAATTTATACTTGGAACTGAAGAGATGAGAAATAAACTTATTTTACATTTCTTTTTGAAAATTATGAGTTTTGCCAATTCGTTCATTATGCACACAGGACCTGCTAAAATTAGAATCGTCCAGAGCATTTTAAATGTGTCTTTACTTTTACTTTTTAGTTGGAATTGGATGGAAAATAATCGACTGCGTCGCACACGATGGTCTTGGCGATTCCTCCCAAAAACTCTTGGACCAACACGGTTGCCCACTAGATGAACTACTACTACCGGAACCTCTAATGGGCCCGCCGAAGTCAATAGCATTAATGAGACACCAAGAACTCATATCCAAATTTGCGGCATTCAAATTTCCAGATCGGGATAGGTTGCATTTATCGTGTGGTTTGCAGCTATGCAGGGGAAGTTGCGAAACGGTAATTAAAATTTTTTTCGAAATTTAAACCGGCGAACATGTTTTTTTAGGTTGATTGCAAATCTTCACTTGCGAACGAATCCGAGATGCGATTGGCCCGTGAATTGTCACAGGATGGCGACGGAGAGATTCTTGATCGCTTTGAGGTGTTTAACAGCGTTGAGGTTATTGCTCCGAGCATTGAGTTGGAGGAGTTCAGAAATGATAATAATCGTAATAACGTTGATGGTAAGTATGCAATCGTAATATGGTGTAAACGATGTACTATAAAGTTGTACAAAGTTGTAAATAAATGTATCTCTGCACAAAACATTTTCGTTTCTTTCTGCACTCTTTTCATTCTTAAAGGTGGCTATTATTTAGCGCGTGAGATTTCTATGTGTACATACATAATAGCATTTGTTCGTTTTCTTGTTGATATACTTATGGGATTGCTTTTTACAACTAGCTATATAAAATGTAACTTGTAAGAGTAAATAATAAACCGATACTACGAAATATCGAAGGATCTCAGTATTACAATCACTTTTTAACGACAATTTATTTTAATCTTACAAAATACATTTTATAGTTAACAAAAATGCATCAAATTCATGTCTTGGGCTTTGAGATAATGCTCTTGGTTTTTTCCCCAACGATCTTGGTGCATAAATAACGATTTTGACATGTTTTGATCAAAATCCATGTGGTCCATAAAAATAGATCAAATTCATGTTTAGATCATTAAGATAATGCTCTTGATCTTTTTCCCAACGATTTTGCGTGCATAAATTAACGATTTGACACTGTTTGGATCAAAATCCCACGTTTTCGCCAAAAATATCATCAAATTCATGTCTTGGCACTTGAATAATGCGCTTAGTCTTTTTCCCAAACGCTCTTGGTGCATAAATAACGATTTTGACATGTTTTTGATCAAAAATCCCACGTGCGTCGCCCAAAATGCATCAAACTTTCATGTCTTGGGCATTGAGATAATGCCGGCCTAGCTTTTCCCAACGATCTTGGTGCATGAAATAACGATTTTACATGTTTGATCAAAAAATCCACGTGGTCGCCAAAAATGCATCAAAATTCATGTTGTCTTGGGCCAATTGAGCATAATGCGCGTAGTTCAGTTTTCCCAACGATCTGGTGCATAATTAACGATTTTGACAATTTTTGATCAAAAATCCATGCTGGCATCAGAAAAAAATAATTTAAAACATTTTTGAATCACACACAATGCGCGTTTATCCAAACGCTGCACGTTATCAACTCTTCAGCATTCAAAGCATTAATGCGTTTTGAAAGCTTTTACAACCTCTTTACAATTCATGTGTAAAGAATAATTTGGTACATTTTGCCTCTAAAACTTTGACCGAGACCACAGAGAAGAGTTATATTGAATTGTTTACACATCTTAAGATCATAGGAATAATCAGCGAAAGTTCCGAACTTCGATACATGACCTAGGGGAATGAAATATGTTAATTTTTATTATATTGAGTTCGCAGTTTTTCCTGTTCCGATTCACGCGGGAAAAGTCGTATAACTTTGTTCCTGTTAAACCAGAAAAACAAAAGCGTCGCGTTCCTTAATGTACACGTACCGTAATTTACCAAATTTTCAACACAATCGGCCACTTTTAAAAAAGAGTTAGAGCGCACACGGACGGACGGACGGAACGGACGACGACTAATACAAAACTAATATAAAGGATCTGAGGATCCTTAATGAATCACATGCGATCCAGCTGTTGCTAGTTGCATGATAGGTCAAAAGGTCTTCACTGTGGCCATCTAGCCAGTTGGATGAATAACTAAATGTACGGGAATTGTACCTTGGTCCAAATTAGAATGTAGTTTACTCGAGGGTGATTGAAGGTTCCCTATATCTCCATTGTAAATATTCATAAATATTCTATATAGAAAACCAAGCAAAAGGTTGGTCGAGTAACATACCTTCGACCAAGAGGATTCCCGGTTCGTATTTAAGCAGAATGCACATTTCCATTGGCGCCCCCAATCTGTTACCAAAAAAAATTCAACCATTCGCGAGTGCACAGAACGACGGAGTTATCATGAACCCAGATGGACGGATGGACAGAAAATCCAAAATCGTTTATATAAGGAGCTGCAAACTGGATCGGACAAATACACCCCAAACCGTACGGGATTCGTTTGCTATGTGGATGTAGACTACATGGTGGGAGATGATGTGCGAAGATGTCTCAGAGAGAGTGTGATCTCAGAAGAGCAACATAAAATAATGGGTACAGAGGTTTACATATACAGGGTGGTGACTTGCGTAACGCACGATAGGGATTTCAATGTAAAGTTCATAACATGCGATTATATTGGCTCCCAAAATTATTTTAGAGCAAAAATGTATTAAAGTTTTTTGTAGAAAACATTTTTTTACGTCAATCAACCGTATTTGTTTGCAATTTTTTTCATATAAAGACGGAAAATTGTAAAAATAAAACCCGCATCTTTTTCAATAATCTGCCATGTCATGGAATTTTCTAAAACAAAAAGTTATCCAGTTGTCAATTAGCAGCAGTTCGAAATGGATTTTATAATCGACTTGGTTACTGTCTTGCAGTTAATGATGACTTATTGGAACATTTATTGTAAATTGTTATATTAGGAAACCGTTTTTAGTAATTTGGTCTTTCTTTATGTTGAATTCGCTGTTCTAAATATAATACTTTTTGCGCGATCGGTCATTTCTGACTATTTACGATGGGTGTTTCCATGACAGTACGTAGAATTTACCAGTTACTATGATTACGACGACGCCAAAATTACTTACCGATCTAAAAACAGAACAGCAAAAATACTTACCGACGCCTTTTTAAAAATCAACAGTCTTACATTACATTTAATCTTTAAGTATTGTTAGGTACATTAAACGTACAATTTGGGCTGTTTTTCCTATAGAAAGACGCTCATAAAGTCATAAAGGAAGTGCAAAGCTAGCAACCTACATCAGACACATGTACAATTTTATGAAATTATTAATTTCAATTTTGACATAAACTGGTTACCTAGTGATGTACACCATACCACTTCGATCATTTCGATTTATTCTGCTCGTTAATTTCTTAGTGCATATTTATATTGGTTACATAATTTTAATTTGGATCGCGCAAAAAATTTTATAAGCATGTCGAACGTTAAGGGTTACCGTTCTCAGACAATAATTGGAGTCGTCGCTTCGCTCCTCCTCCAAACAATTGTCTTCGAACGGTAAAAATCCCTTACCGTTCTCCATACTTAATATACTATTAGGCAATCGGAAATAATTAAGATTTAAAAATTTCCGAACCATCGAACAATAGGTACCTACTTAATCGCCTGCTAGACTGTTCTGCAAAATGTATGGAAGAGCTCTATTCATGTGATATATACCATCGCGCTCCCAGCACAGCACTCAGGTGCAGGAGACTAGGTACTTGCATATGGTTTGGTTCCTATAGGTAGGCATCATTGTCAATGGTTTCCTATTTACCATTTATGCCTTATCTACCAATTTCAAAATTGTAACCTACAGCGACCCAATCCGCGAAATTGCTGCCTGACGATCGGATATGTTGTGAGCATTTGAGTAGTGGTGAGTAATTTTTTGTTGTGCGAAAATCGAAATTGGAGAAATTAAGGAAATTATAAATGAGCATTTTAGTAAAAATCGCTCGTGCCGTGAAATTACGGAAACAAAAATTAGAGTGTTACGCAAATGCTAAATTCTAGTTTCTTCCGGTTTCCCTAATTGAAAAATAATAAATGAGGACATGAGCAGACGCAGCATTTTTCACTAAACCTATTTACAATTTTGATCTAAATTAATTAGGAGAGAAAACATTTCGATATAAAAAAATTAGCATTGAAACTGCTATAGTGCGTAAATCGTTTCTAATCCAAATCTCGTTTCAAGAAATGTGCCACTAGACAAACATTAGGTAACTGTAAAAGTTGTAATTTTACCCTAATTTATCGTAGGCGGCAGACCTACCTACTAACCTACCAATTATATTAGCCCTTTAATGGCTTTAATCACCTGATCAGTGATCTACTTACTTCAGATCGTAGTTTTTACTTTGGAGAAATAAGTTTATCAGTTTAGTTTATGCATAATTTGTACAATCTGTCAAGAGCGAAAGCAAGCGACATTAATAATGCATTTAAAAGTCGGATGTTAAGACAGTCAATTTCCTATCGATTCGATTTCATGTAAGTATTTATTTGAAAACTGAAAATGAAATACCTACATTTGGAAATACCATGAAGTGAGCGAACGCATGGGTGTCTAAATTCAATTCAAAATAGTAAAGTTCACGTGTGATTAATGCAAGCCGCAAGTAGATTGGTCACCTTTTGTTGTTTAGTCTAAACGGCAACGTCGTAGATTACGTAATTGTAGGTGTGGCTCTACGGCAGTTGACAGGCGTGTAAGAAGGATAGCGAAGGAAAGAAGGAGAGCATGGAGTGATCGTATTCGTTTCGTATGGTTGTAGTTTGGTTACTCAGTTGCTGTTCGTTTCGGTCGTTTGTGGCACGATGCAGGTGTTGATTTTTATTTCGAACGCTATTTTATACAAACTTTACATGCAAATAAAAATAATCAAATAAACAGAGTGTCATTTAAATTACTTAGCTGTGATCTCATAAGGGTTGTGATTAAATACGTGTAGAATTTAAATTAAAATGACTTTACCGTTGCCCATTTCGTGCTCTCAAAGAGTTAAAGATGTTCTTACAAATACAAGTATTGACCAACTAGAAATAAGTGCCAGTATGGCAACGAAAATACTAGCACCTGTTAAAACCGAACAGCAAATTTTAGAGAATTCCATGCTGGAGGACGATCCAAATGCAAACTGCAGTGTGGTAACCCAAGACCAAAAGGTGCGACCACGATGGGGTCCGCAGCATAAAGGTGCACAGGAGCTTGCTAACCTTTACACTACCGGTAAAGTATATTTTTATAATTTTGTCAATGAATGAACACCCAAAACAACTTTTGCTGAAAACTATATTTAACCCTTTGCGTTTTATGCCAATTGGATCACTAACAAATTCTCGTTACTGTATTTTGTGTCAATGCCACTGCACCAAATTTATGAATACTTCAATCACATTCACCGAATTCACCTGGTGCTTGACGGCCGACTGCGATGGTTAATCTGCGAGATAAAAAGTTGAAATATTTCTGATAACGACCGCTCCGATGGTAGATACATTCATTATTATTGGCAATTACGGGTGAACGTACAACACCGTTTCGGTTTTATAGGGTTGAAACAGTTGTTGAAAATGATTAACTTTGTAAATACGGTTTTTCCCAAAGTGATTGTACAGTGTGTTATAAAAGTAAGGTTAGTAAGGCTGTAGGTACTGTACTTCGCCGGTATGCGTAACGAAAGAAACAGGAAATTTGCAAAAATTTGGTATCTACGTTCGTGACATAAGAAACATGACTTTAATTTTTCAGGTAAAATATGTGCCTATGAGAAGAGACGTATCTATACTGTCCTGTCGAGTGTACGGCCAAAGAAAAGGGTTGAAGTGTAATGAAATTTTTGAGAAGTAAGAGGTTTGAAGGCTGTGTGTAGGTACTTCCTGAAGTTTGTGTAAATAAAATCATGAAAATATTTCTTGATGTTATAAGAAATCGTCGAGATATAGAATGCAATATATAACTGGTTACAGTAAAACCGCTTCCTTCCTTGCGGCCATGCGTAACTGATACAAAGTTTTTATTTGTTAGTATATAAATGTCAATTAATTATTCAAAACTTTATCAATGAAATATCACTTTATCTTGTATAGGTTATTGTAAAATGTGCTCTAAGCTGGCACCGAGGCTGGTACACTCTAAAAGGCAAGGGAAATATCCGGAAGGCGGAAGGACTCTTCTATCTAGACTCACCTCCGATGAAGTGGGCACATGTAAAAGTTAAATGGTCCCCAGATGGTACCTACACCATGTATAATTTCAAATGTTTGGTAATTTATGGATAATCTAAAAAAATAAGAAAAATATGTACCTTTGGTGGATTAGCAAATGATTGTAACTATTTGAAAAATATATACAAGACGTTCCAAAATACCCGGGAAACCACCGTGATGATACTATTTGAAAAAATTGACTTAATGACGAGCTTAATGCTATAAACGAATTTATAATTTGGAATCAATGAACAACGATTATGGTCCGTTTATGGTCACCTACATTAAAAAGTAATATTAAAGACTATTTTTCCGATCTCGTTCCCGGCCCATCTTGTATAAATTACCGAAAGCAACATATGTCTAAGTAATACTGTACGAGTATATCGAAAAATAAAATAAATTTTGCATTCTCTACCCACCTTTGTATCAATAGCAGCAAAGTTAGACAAACCTCGCATTCCACAATGGGCGGATTCCGAGGCGGATTCCCTACGTTGTTGAAAGACCACGTCGCACTCACTAGTACCCATGATTACTATCGGGAATGTGAACCGTGTTCCCCTAGCATCGGACAAAAGAACCAAGCCGAAGAAAATTCCGACTCATTATCCGCAGAGCGTAAATATAGGTGGAAAATCGAGAGCAAGAAAGCCAACGTTGGAAAACGCTAAACACACACTTTACATCACATAATATACAAAAATTAACAATCCGAGGCAATATCCCTTGAATTTGAATAGTTTAAACATGACGTTAAACGAATACAAAATTTGATAAGTTTCAGACTTGCCAACTCAAACAGATTTAAGAGCAACTCCAACCTTGACTCCAACCCTTTCCCATTTGTGAAAAATAAGATTCCAAAGTCTCTTACATAAGTACATAAATGGACCTTCTCCAGTCCAGAAGGTATCTGATGTCCTGGATACAGTAACCTTATACTAAAAGTGTATTTCGAAATGAATGCCGCTAAGTACTTTAACCTAGACCTTAACACTCCGGCATTTACCTGTGCACGGGGGACACAGTTAATGACATTCAACAAAAGAGAGATTCATACACAAAGAATTGCAATCGCGAATGAGTTTAAACATCGAATGAAAATTACTGACCAATCTCAAACAAATCAAAATAAGGATAAAATTTAAAGTGAAACAAGCAAATAACAAACAAATTCAAGGGTTACCTACCCGCAGTTACAAACAACTGAAGGCAATACAATTTACAATAAAGCGAAGAATTTGCAATTAAAATTAAGCAAATTACCTTTTGTTATGGCACAAATTTGATATAAAGATTGCCAATTGACAATTATATTAAACAAATTCAACTGGGCTGACAACGCAGAAAGGAAAATGACGGTACATTTTACCATGAACTTGAATGTACTGACCAAAATGGAAAATCGGGAAAACTAAATCAAGACATTATTTCCTTTATATACAGATTGACATTGTTTAAGAATTGCTATCATATAAACCGAGATATAAACTCTATGTACGCCAACGGTAAGTACTTGTCGTTTGAAAGTTTGAAATTTCAGGTTGTACGAAACGATTAATGTGGTCACTTTTCCAACTACGATAACGATTTCTTGATAAATAATACAAATTGAAATTGATTCAAATTAAAAATGTTTAAATTGATTCAAATTAAAAAATTTTAAATTGATTCAAATTAAAAAATTTTAAATTTATTAAAATTAAAATACACATTAGGTAGATAATTAAAATTAAAAATCTTCCACGAGTCCACACAGGAAAAAAATTTCTACAATTTAATTTTTTTGATTTTGGAAACCGGTTACAGTAAATGAATATGCGCAGTTTTACCAAAAACCTTAAAATTGTAATGCAACAATTTCAGTGGAATTTTTTAAAATTTTAATCTTCTACATGTTTTGAAAGGAAGTTGAAAATGCATCTAGCAATACGTGATGTATTGCAAATTTAGCAACGACCTACTTCGTACGTATCATGTGGTGGGACGCCATCGTCTTTACTAGGGATATTTCAACATACAAATATCAAATCAACACTTCAGTGAGATCCTAGAGCTACATCATTTTTGTTCATAAACATATAGAATAAGTGTAACCATCAAATGTGCGATGAACCATTTTCGCATCCCATTCCAAAGTTACAGCAGTTTCACAAAATAAAACCATTGGATAGTCTGTCCCACGACGACGATGGTCCCATTATCAAATCTGCAGCTTGAAGATTAAACAAAACTGTTAAAATTGGGGAACTTCCGAAAAACCTATGTTGCGAGTATAGGTATAGATTATAGATTTATTAGAGTACAGATAAGATTTGTTTTACAAAACTTTATCTTTTATGCGTAAAAACTAAACCCTAGACGCAACCTTTCGTTGCTTGATTTAACGCCGAAATGGAAATAGAGGTTGCTTATCCACATTTAAGGGTAATGTTCTAGTCCTAGTCTATTCAAGACCTCAAACACAATACGATGTAGTGAAATCGATGGATGGAATATTCCTAACAGTTGGAAATGTTATTTTTCTCAGTAATTTGTGTTAGTAAACGTAGCAAGTATACCTCGAAGTATACACACCCACATTTGGTACTTGGAAAATATTGTGATTGTGATTAATAGAACAGCGCACTTGGTGGATCTATCTATATTACGATAACAAAATTCCAATTACCATAGATTACGCACCTATCTTGTAAACAAATACGGTAAACAGTGTTTGTTATTGTGTCAAAAATTTAGAGATGAACGTGAAAAAAACATATATTTATTATGGTATTCTCGGATGCATAACGTTATATCAATTTCTGGTCGTTTTAAAGCGTGTGTGACAACGTACCCAGGGTCGATTACCGGGGAAAACATACAAGGTATCGATAAAAGTTTTAGGGTTCATCAATATCTAGTAGGCGGTGATATATAAATAATTATTATTATCACGAATTTATGTTGAAATTTTTCTTTTTATCGCATTTTTCAGAAAAATAACCTGCGCTATTACTAGTGTTTTCCGGCGGCCCGTCTGTGTGAGGGGCGAGATCTCAATCGGAAAGTCGTACAAATCTTGTTGATAACGTCTTATTTGATATAGATATAGGCCCCAACTCGGGCCCCAATTAGTGCAACAAGCAAGGTTTTTTCGTAACCAATTCGGGATGATGTCTAAAATATGGGCAACATTTTTAATTATGCACCAATTTCGTTGAGAAAACGGCAAAACTTACTAACTTAGATACATATAATAGTATCTAATGTTATGAATCGCAAAGGTATTGCTATTAATTAAGTGAAAACGCGAATTTTTGAGTTATTGTGCGTACAGCTGAATGGACGGCTGGACTATTAGACTTTAATGTTTCAAAATTGAAATATCAAAAGATGCTAATTTTCGTACTACCTGAATTCCAACCATATAGATTGTAACATACACGTAAGTAATTATTGTTATAGTAAGTAGGTGTATCAAAAAATGTTGGTAAAGGGGACTATATCAAAACATTTTTTTGCAAATAAACAAAGGACAAACGGTTTTGACACAAAATCTGAATATCTTTACAAGAGCAGCCATAGATGTATAGGACCTACTAACTCCATCGACACTTGTAATTTTTAAACGCATTTTCCGATTTTATAAAAATTGTTCTAAACTTGCGCCTACGAAACGAGTATAACGTCCTCTGGTCACCATCTTATTTTGATCACGTTCTCTACTAAATTTTATTATAACATCCACTTTGATCACAATGTTCACTACTAAGCGTAGTCACACCTAATATCGTTCACTGGCTGGAGACGTGACCGTCGTACGGCTAACGTCACAGATAGGTAGATCTTTTTGAGTTTGATTGAGGATGAAATTGAGGAGGAAACGAAAAAATGGAAAATTGGCTCTATTGGCAGCCACGGTTATTATTTGGGACCATGATTTATTACGTGCACGTGATAATGAAAATTGATTGCGCATGCGCAGGCCCATCTACATTATTTATAGACGGATTTTTTGATACATAGATTAAACGC